TAGACTCGTGATGCCAGATGAAGCTTTCTTCCCATTAATTCCTTCTGTAACACTTGATAGATACGTGAGCCCTGAAGATGCCCATGGTTCCACGCAATTTATATGTCTTCGGTTAGTGACACTCTAATTTGAAGTGCTTGCTTATAACGTGCGCTTTACTCGTTCGGATCTCCAAATTCTCTGCGCGAAAAATTCCTTCTTCGTAATCTCACCGGTATCTCAATCAAAAATAGGTCCAAAAATGTTGAGTTATGCTAGATATTTCTGCTAAAGGTCTAAAGCAACACTCTACGGCTTCTGACCTAACCAGAAATATTCGTCGGCAAAAAGGAAATGTCCAAATGTAAAACAGTGGTGCTTAGAAGGGACTCTATGTGTGACCCTTTCCACTCTCTTTGAGCCTGTTGAGTCTAAAACCGCGGTGTGCTAATTTCTTTTGGCAACCCTACAGAGAAAGTGGGGCGTGTGTACGCAACGAGTTGTTGGCGAGTTATAGTGTTCAGGTGGGAACCAAATCACCTCAGGCCTCAAAAAGATCAACACACAAAGTTTTTCTCGTTTTCGAGGGAAACGCCCCGCAAAATGCAAAAATCAAATCCATCGTGATACCCGATCCATAGCCTCATGCATAAGAGGTGTCACGCTTACCATTTCTCCGAATCACCTCTGTGAGAGCAGTTACGGCAATGGTCTGAGTTTTTATTCATGTTAAGCATTCACGATACTATCGCATTCATAACTTCGGACAGAGAATTCTCTGGCGAATTTTGAGTGCACTTCCGAAATCTGCACCAGGAATTACGTACAGCAATATAATGATCATTTCAAATGGCCTCTTCGGCTTGGCATCCATCACTTATAGGGAACAAACCGTGGAAACCATTTTCATTGTGATACTGTCGAGATAGAAGCGATTATCCAAACCCTGGAAAGCGAAGGAGTTCTCAGTATGGGATGACCAGTCCAATAACCTGGCTAGCGCCGGCGTCTTCCCCCTTCTCGTGTCCCGCCGTTTGCCTTTTTCCAAATTCGAAACATCTGGTCCAGAGAGCCGGAGTTAAATATGAAACTCCAGCGAAACGCACACACACCCCGACCCTATGGATCGAGTAACCTTGCTCTTTCTCTGCCAATCCAACTTAGCTGCGTATCTTCACTGGTTGTACTCATTAAACACACTCTCCGCCCATTCCATCCTCCTACGCCCCACGCGTGCGACACCCAGTTCAGTCACTTTTTACCCCATATCTTCAGTGAACTTGCCTCGTGTGCCAAATTTAACTCTCCAGGCTCAAATTAGCTATTTTCACGCACGTATTGCTCCCTGTGAATGGACCCTGTCCCCTTCCATCCGTGTCTCAAGCCTGCCGTCTGTGCATTCAAATTCGGCCACTTTAGATTCTTTAATGAGCTTCATTCCTCCTTAAGCACTAATTTTCGTTTACGCTCCGTACCTATGGAGGGAAAGCGGTTGCACTACTTATCAACAACATTCCAATATTGTTGCCTGTAACTCTACCGAATTTGAACGCTCAGGGCTCACGGGAACAGAAGTCATGATTTTTCCTAAAACTTCAATTTTCGCGCACCATGTAGATAGAATCGAGTCGTTGGACCTGCTATTAGGGTTCCCATCCTGGCGCCTGCTCTTATCCCTACCAAATTTGAAGCATTGGCATCTCTTGAAACTCTTCCCTATACATGCGTAATCTTGGAATGGAGAAAATTGAATGTTGTGCATCATACGCTTTGCATACGGCGTTGAGCAGGCGCAGATATCGCTCACGAAAGTTGACAAGCCTTTTGAAAAGATCGGCTTGTAATCTAACGAGAGCGCTGACCATGTGGGGGTTGATACCCGGCGCTCCTTTGACGCTGGACGGAATAAACATTCATGAATGCTCTAGGTACGTGTATCTCGGTCGAGAAACAAACATGATGAAAAATCCGACTCCAGAGCTGAGCCGAAGAATGCGCGCGACGTGACGAGCATTTAAGAAGATCGGGGAAGAAGGCCAAGAATGTTTGGCTCCGAGTTCACCTTTTCTACGCTGCGGTTCTTCCTGTTTTGTTACGTTGATTAATTGCTCCTCGGAGGCCTGAACACTACTAAAGCTGTGTGAGCATCCAGTCAGCGGTCCAGCATCCAGTTCAACACGCTATGGAAAAGAAGATGCCCAAATTTCTGATACACGGAAGTGCCTTGGGTAAGTCAGAGCTCTGACCTTCGTCAACGAACGAGGATTGGTGGTTGAGTCTCTTCAGCCAAGAAATTGAAAATCAGGTGGGGATGTTGCTTAATTGATGCGGTTGGTCCCACGAGACGTCGTACGAGCATCAAGACATCAGCCAGGTTAATGATCAGTCTTTGTGTGGGTGAATGACTCGTTTCTCGAGCGAGCCCACTGGACCGCATTGGCTCGTGACAAGTTCGAATGGAGGCTTTACTCAGGTTTGCTGCGCAAATCGCTTATCTTTGGCGCCACATGTGGTACTGCAGGTAATACAGATTGTAGTAAGTATGTGTTACTCTTCTTTTGCGCCAGTGTTTACAGATTTTCTCTATGGTGTTCGTATTACTCCACTTGCCAGTTTTCATGAGCAGACAAGAGTGATTGCCCTTATAGAGTGGAAGGCGAATAGCATTGGCATTATTCGTGGCATGCAGCTCATGCAGCCATTTTTCTTCTTTAAGGCAATAAAATATGCCTGTTCTGCTACTATCCTACTTTATATAATTCGCTAAGTGTGTCTGTTGGTGTGTCGGTGTGTTTGTGTGTGTGTTTGTTTGTGTGTGTGTGTGTGTCGGTGTGTGTGTGTGTCTGACCGGAAATTCATAACTCCTGTCCTAGTAGACCTAGAGCGTTCAAATTTGGTAGGAGCAAGGGCTGCGGCAGGACCGGACTCCGTTCACAGGGAGCGCGGCGTGCGCGTTAAAAGTTCTGAGCCTCAAATTCATAACTCCTGTTCCCGTGGA